CGTCGACAAACTGCGCCAAGGTGTGTTGCTCCTGTTGTCGGCGAAACTTCATTAGAGAAGAAGAAAAATGACTCGGATGCTCTTTTATAGAGAGAATACATCAGTTTCACAGAACAACATATCAACTGGAACTCTTTCACCTACTAATCGGTGTCAACCCCAAGTATCCCATCGTGGGCGAATTAACCTTTCGATGTCGAATCTGCCGTTTGGAAGCGGCGCTCTAAGTAGCTCTTGGTCTTTCGCTCGGATCCACAGCGTCGTTGCTACTTTCTCACCTTCTCGTACAACACATGCTCCGTGAAGAGAGTTTAATTCCTAAAAAGTAAGTAAAAGTATCGAAAATAGTTGTAGCAAAAAATGTTGTATGTTATAGGTCGGGAATACTGCACTGCTCAATGCTAGATCCATTTTTACCTACTTGTTGTCGGCATTCCATTAGGTTGTCCGGAAAACTTCTCAGCGTTTTGTGTTACTATTTTTTGTACATTCATTGCTGATTAAAAACTCATTCTCCCTTGCGTCTCAGTAGTACATCCTGAAGAGAATTTTTGCGCTATCTGATGGTATAATTGCCGTTTCACCATTGCTTGAACCCCTTTTCCCAAGACTTTTTGAAGCATGTCAAAAGAGCAACTTCGGACGATATTTTTCTTCGACTACAAATTGGGTCAATCCGCAGTCGAGACAGCTCGACAAATCCCTGAGATCGGGTAGGCGTGGCCGCATGTTTCAACTTAACCTGAAGGTGTCTATGCTTCTGGTGAGATATTTTCACAATTGTTGTCGTGTCTCTGTCCAACACAGAACAAGATGACAGTTGTCCCAGACTGGAATATTCCACGAGTAACCAGTTCCGTGCCATGTTCAAATGCCACGCCTACTCTGGCTCAGGGATAAGGAGTGTAACTAGGTGTAGGGGCCTCAATAGTGTTGGAGAAAGCACGTGAAACAATGGTTCGACAAATTTCGTTCTGGAGATTTCAGCCTTGAAGATGAACCTCGTAGCGGTCGACCTAAAGCAATACCTGACGAGGATTTGAAGGCGTTTGTGGAGGCTGACCCATCCCAAACAGTTCGAGAGATTGCAGAAAAGCTAGGCGTTGGCAAATCCACTGTTGCGGATGGTCTGAAACGCATTGGGAAGGTGAAAAAACTCGACAAGTGGGTGCCCCACAATTTGAGTGACCGGCAGAAATTGGCACGTCTCGAGGTTTCTTCTTCACTGCTTTTGCGCAACAGAAACGACCCGTTTTTGGACCGAATTGTCACCTGTGATGAAAAGTGGATCATGTATGATAACAGGAGACGTTCCGGACAGTGGTTGGATGCCGACGAACCACCGAGGCAATTTCCAAAGCCGAATCCTCACGAAAAAAGATTATGGTCACAGTGTGGTGGTCATCGGCTGGTGTGATCCACTATAACTTTTTGTCACCAGGCCAAACCATCACAGCAGAGTCCTACTGTGAAGAAATCGACGAAATGTACCGAAAATCAGCTGCAGCCAGCACTTGTCAACAGAAAGGGTCCGATTCTTTTGCATGACAACGCCCGCCCACACGTTTCACAAATCACTATCCATAAATTGAACGAATTGGGGGTTGAAGTTCTACCTCACCCGCCATATTCTCCAGACCTTTCGCCAACCGACTATCACCTTTTCAAACATTTTCAGAACTCCCTTGCTGGAAAATACTTCATCAATCAGGACCAGGCAAAAAAGCCTTAGTGGATTTCGTGAATTTTCGACCACCCAGTTTTTTACTTTGATGGGATTTCTCGACTGCTGTCACATTGGCTAAAGTTGCTGATTCGAATGGACAAAAGTGTGCTGATTCGAACGGTGCTTATTTCGATTAAATCCGATGAGTATTAAGAAAGTTATGATCGTTTAAAGTGAAACACTCAAAACGCTGAGAACTTTCCGGACAACCTAATATTCCCCCCCCCCCCCCCCCCCCCCCCCCCCCCCCCCCCCCCCCCCCCCCCCCCCCCCCCCCCCCCCCCCCCCCCCCCATAAGTACCAGTGAAAAATGTTTCAGAATATCAAATCTTGCGTAACTGGTCATTTTATCGCAGTAAATTTAAAAATTATCTTCGAATGAAGGGAGTTTTCTCATCATATATATATTTTAATATTTAAGGTGTACGCCTATCTGAAAATAAAAACATTTAGGGAATGGCATTCGTTTTATTAGCTGATGCTAAGCATAAGGCGCACGAAATAGGTAGGTGTCTCATGAGTGGTAAGCACGCCCAACGCTCTAGGGACGGCGATTTGACAGTAAGTTCTCCATTTGGAAAAACCACACAAGTGAAGTGAGGTTCACGAGCGCTGAGGACAGCTGGAAGAACGACGAGCATATGGTTCAGATTTTCTTCTGCAGTGCCTTTGTTTGTGGCAAGAGAAGATGGAAAAAGATGTGTAAGGAAAGCATACACTCAAGTGTATCCTTTGTCAACCTAACATATACTCGCACAAGAGCCTTCAAAGTTCATTACCTTTCCTCTTGTGACATTCATGTTGAAACCAGAAAATGGCATCTCCACGTGAAGGCATGACTGTTGCACGCAATTTCGGGAAAAGGGTTCCTGCAATAACTCCTGCGATGTTTTTGTTCTGGGAATTCTTTCACGGTTACTAGATTAAACTTTGCAACGTGACGTATTTTACAAAGCAACGACGAACTGCTCATGCTTATGCACTCACCTCCCCCTTTCGTGGCTGGCTGGAGCATAAGAAGTAAAGTTGCCATTCTATTTCCGTATTTCGTCATCCAAGAATCCCACTGTTTTGGTGAAGTATACGTGATGAAATCAAAATGAGGGGCGTAATGGCCGCCGGGGTAGTAAGAAAGAACCTGAACTTCTATTATCGCCAACTGAAAGCTTCTTGTGTTGATATAATTCGCTTCGAATGTTCTCACGACTCCAAACAAGACAGTATCCAACCTGCCAGAGCTCAGAAGCCGTGAAATTAATAGAAGGCAGCATTGTTTTTACTCGTCTAAACATTTTGGCAACTCCACTAGTTTCTTCGTGTGAAAGCCACGTGCCATTAGCTTCTCTAGAACTGCTCTCTTTGACACCTGGTTTATCTTTCTCATGATCGATCACTACCTGAAAATAAGACTGAGCCTAAAGTCGTCACAGAAGTTCAAAATATAAATAGATAAATAATATATAAATATAAAATATATGTATAGCCTAGGGAATACCGGTTGTTTCATTTTCTCCAACTTCTTTTATAATACAACGGCATCTAGGAAATCGCGAAAAATGCAGTTCTGTCACAGGTTACAAGAATATTGGATACAACGACATCCTGTTTTTTCGTGAACGTGCTATACTGGTCTTATCTGCCTTATTATGATGGTCATGATTCGAACCCAATCGTTTTTTGCTCGGCCGCAGCATAAACGATTGGGTTTGGATTCACTCGGACCATTCACTACGAGTCGGAGTTGTCGTGGTAATGAGAAGAGGTTCACCGATCCTTTGCGCCCGAACAATGTTGTTT